ATCCACCCTGGATCAGGGAACCACGCATCTTCCCTGGGAGGGCTGTCTGTTCGAGTCTGGCCCCACCTGGCCACACAGGCATCCCTTGAAGGCCACTCATAGTCTGAAGAGTCTGAAGCATTTCAGACTCCTCAACACAAGGAGGAGAAGTCATGGCCATTGGTGTTGTGAGTACTGCCCCCTCTGGGATTGGGGTCCTGCAAGGAGACCTGTGTGGCCCAGGGGCTGCAGCCCTGACCCCAGCTCTCTACTCTGGCTTTCAGGGTGGTGGCCCCGGTGCTGGCCTTGGCAGAGTGGCTGGTGGGGGCTCTGCCAAGCTGCTCAAAGCCTGCCTCTGAAATTAATGATTAAAGTGTTGATTGTGCACCTGCCCTGGCGTCCTGATGCTTCAAGCTCATGACTGAGTACAGGGGGCTGGAGAAGGAGGAGCTCCCCTGGGGGCGCAGAGGAAGGTGGGGGGCGGGGGGGTGGCTGCATTCTCCTGGGGGCTGGTAAGGAGCAGTGCTGGTGATGCCAACGCTGATTACTGTTTAGGGAACATATCCTTGCTAGACGCTTTCTCGCACAACTCTTGAGGTTGTGGATATTTTTGTTTTCATCTCTACTTTGCAGATAAGGAAATTGGTACTCAGCAAGGGCGTGTGACTCACCCACAATGTCACGCAGGGGACATGGCTGAGGAGACACAGGCCTGGCCTGGGGTGGCCTCCTGGCTCTTCCACGCAAACACTGAAAATTGGGGGGCTTCCATGGTTGTTGGGATTACATGACAGAACCTAAATGTAACTGGAGGCCCAGGAGCCTAGAGCTTTTTTTTTTTCCTCAACACACAGTCAGGATACCACCCCAGGCCTCAGCGGCCAGGGGCCAGGGACCTTGCCTGTTAGTGGGAGGGCCCTGAACTCTGGGCTGACCTCTGGGACGTGGGGTTCAGGCCAGGGAGGCATCTCACATGCCCCACCTCACCAAGGTGAGGAAGGGGGGCCTGCCCTCAGAAGGGCTCTGTGCTAGACGGTGTGTTACATAGATACCTCTTCCTAGAGCTCCAGTTTCACATATTTGGGGTCTGGACAGGGAGGGGAAGTAGATGATTTAAAAAATTCTTATATTGAAACAAACGTCAGAGTATCAGAAAGCCACACGAATACACAGCCTGTTTTGAAGGTCTGTGCCCAGAACCCCAAAGGGCTTGTTCACCTGTCCCTCCTTGCTCACCATCAGGGGCACTTCTCAGAGGATTCAGAACCTGCTCCATGCTCTGTGGTTCTTCTATAGTACTGTTGAAGAAGGGTGGAGACTCAGAGGTCTGAGGCTTGCCTCAGGTCACATAGCCTGGAGGTGGCAGAGCCCAGACCCTCCCCCACTGACCTCGGCCCCGAGGTACTTGCCACCACAGAACCCCGCTGTCTCCTTGCCTGTCAGGGAGACACGAAGTGAGGAAGCCACAGGCCCCTCCCACAGAGAGGAGCCTGGCAGTGGCAGGTCTCAGGCCGGGCTAGAGAGAGAGGGTGGACGGGAACCACTGGGATGCCCCTGCACTGGGCTTTCGAGGGCGCACGGACTGGGTGTGATCTACCCTCCAAAGGGACTATTTAGTCAGGGTGTGTTTGGCTCTGAGGAGCAGAAAACTACTGAATCCTACTCAGATCAAGCCCACCAACTCAGGGGCAGCCAAGGGTGGTAGGGAAACAGACGTTGGGGCTCAAAGTTCCATCACCTCCACAATGCTCACTAGTCTGTCTTTCCCCCATCAGCTTCTTCAGAGTGTGGCCCCAGCAGTGACTCTGTCACCTTCCAGTTCAATTCCCCAGCCCCCTCTCACTTCCTCAGCCTATGTCCCAAAGCCTAGAGAGGGGGTCTGCCCAGCCCAGCCCCGCCTGTGGATTCTGGGCCAGGTGTCTAGCCTGGCACAATCTACTGGACCGTAAGAAGGGGTGTGGGTGAGAGCACAAGCATGTCTGGTGCAGAGCCCCATAGTGAGAGTCTGATAAACAGAGGTCCCCCCCGGGGACTGGGGACCAGGTTTGTGTCTAGCCTGCATTTAGATCTGTAGACCTCCAGACAGACCAATTCCCCTCTCTCACAGCCATGGGATGGCGCCTGGATTTGCTTAGCATGTTCATGCCTGTGAGCTCATCATGTCACAGGTGGGGAAACAGGCCCTAGCAGTGAAATGATTTATCTAGGAACATGCAGTGACGAGAGGAGAGGTCTGTCCCACAGCCTCTGCAGCCCAGTTGCTAGGAACCGGTTCTTCTCCTGCTCCTGGTGCCTCCCAGAGTCCCTTCCTGAATCACCTACTTCCAGGTTGGGGCCCCAAAGGGCAGCAATCGGATCGGATCTGAGGGATTTGGGAGTCTGTGGGCAACGGCAGCCTGCTCTGGGCTGCTCTGGGCTTTTGGATGGACTCCAGGGACAGCAAGGGAGCCCCCTGCCCCCATTTTTGCACAAGGGAAAATCCTGTGGAGAGTCTTGCTGTCTACAAGTCAAGGCAGGTTAAAAACTAGGGCTCTGGACCCAGACAGACCTAGTCTGAATCTCCCACCAGCACTCAGGCTGCACAACCCCTGCTTTGAGCTGTGCCCTCGGCCTCTCCCTTCCCCCTCCACCGCAGTGTGGGCAGCTCTCTCCATCCCATCATGGCCCACTCAGGCCTCATCTTGAATAATCCTCTAACCCACCCCTTATCAGGCAGGGCAGGTAGGAGCTGCTTTGTGGCAGTCTTGGAGGAGTTGTAAACACTGCCTACCACTCCCTGCTAGCTCAGCTCTGAGAAAGGGTGTTTACTAGTTTTTAAAGTATTATTATTATTATTATTAATTAAAGGAAATTTCCTGGAAAACTGACATCTCAAAAAGAATATAACCCTTAGAGGGCACTGATTCCTCTTCTTCAGGAAGTATGGGGGGAGGGAGGTTGCTCTCTTGGCTAGCTCAGCTTCTCTCCCACAACCCCTCCTGGAGAAACCCTGTCTAAATACCCCCTTATTTTAGTCCTTGACCTGAAAATCCTTTGCCCTACAACTTGGACTATTAAGCAGCTATTTGCAGGCTCCAGCAGGCATCGGAATCACCAGAGGCAAATGTAAAAATGCAGATTCCTGGGCCCACCAGAGAGCGCCTGATTCAGCAGGTCTCCGGTGAAGCTGGGGGCGGGTGTCGGGGGGTGCGGGGGCGGGAGTGCGGAGGACACAGATGGTGCTAATCCTTGTCCAGTGATTATGATGGGGCTTGAGGGGCACTTGTCATTCCACAGTCTTACCACGAGGGGGCGCCGCGGACCGAGCTAAGCGGTTACCCTTTGCGGTCTTGTTCCTCCCGACAGGCTGCTGTCTTCAGCCCTTTGCGGTCTTGTGCCTCCCGACAGGCTGCTGTCCTCAGGACTTGCTGATCAGACAACAGGCTAAGGGTGAGCCGTGTTCCGGTGGGCAGCTTCCGCAGGGAAGGAAGCCCGACGTCAGGAAAGAGGCTCGCAGCTGGCTGTGGGCACCTACCTGCGCCAGGCATTCCACCTTGGTTCTTGCGCACTTGGGTTCCGGAGCTCAGAGAGTCCAGTGTCCAGCCTGGAATCCGATTCAGCTTGTTCTGCTCTGGGGTGCGCAGTTTCCCCAACCCTGAGCAAAGAGAGCAGCCGTCGTTTAGATGGGAAAGCAGAGACCCAGGCAGCGGCAAGGGCTTAGTGGCAGCTGCTCTGGCTGCCAGCCCACCCAGGGCTCTTTGTCCTGCTAGGGCTGGGGGCAGAGGGTGGACCCCAGGAAGTCCAGCTATGAGTCAGTTCTGAGTGCCCAGGGGCTGCTGGCCAGGGATAGATGCTGGCTGGTTCCCCGCTTCCACAAATGTGGGTGGCCTTGGTGATTCAGTTCCCTGTGTCTGCCTAGAGGGGGCCGGCCCTGGGCTGGGAGAGGAAGGAAGCGCTAGGAGTAGGGAGGGGCTATGGAGGGGGCTTAAGGGGCCCGGTGGTCCAACTCGTCTGGATGCTGAGGTCCCACGGAATAACTGTGGCCAGAGATCGGGTGGCCCCGAGACTGGTCCTGGGATGAGGGTCCCTGGGGGGGGGTCCTTGAAGTTGCAGTCCCCGGTGAGGCTGGGGGTTTTATTGGGCTCCCTCAGAAAGGCACCTCATTGTCCCCGCACTGCATAGGTCTCTACGGGGGGCTTGCCTTGGCGCTGGATGTGGAGAGGCCTGATTCCCCACTGCTAGGGGAGAGGGGACAGGCAGCCTGGCCACTCCATCTGGGGGGCTTTGCTGACGGAGGGACTGCTAGGCGGATGGGGGAGGGGCTGTGAGCGGGCGGCTTGGGGGAGGAGCGAGACATCCCTCCCGGCTCCGGGGGCGGGGCCTAGCCAGGGGCGGTGCTGGGGGCTCAGCTCAACTTTCCGGGTGGGGCGCGGGCGGCGGCGGTGGAGGCGGGGCCTAAGAGCGCGGGGCCTCGCTCGCGGGGCCCGCCGGGGCTGAAGCCTGGCTGGAGCTGCTGCAGGAGCCGGAGCCGCAGCCGCAGCCCGAGCCGCCGAGAGCCGGAGCCGCCAGGAGCCGGAACTGGAGCGCAGGCCCCTGCCAGAGCCTAGCCGAGCCGAGCTCATCGCCGGGCACCGGCCTGAGAGCGGGCCGGTGTGTCAGCTAGCCGCTGGGCCTGGGCGCACTGTCGGAGGGAGCGAGCCGCGACCACCAGGCACCACTGGGAGCCGGTGCCCGGATCGCCCCTGCCAGGCCTGGGCCCAGCTTGAACGAGCAGTAGGTCGCGGGGTCTGGACCGAAGAGAAAAAGGAACGAGGATTCCATCTAATCGTGGAGTGGGCTTCAAAGCGGGAAGAAGAGTGGAGACTTCACCTGGGACCGGGCAGAGGTGCCTGCAGCTTACTAGGCCAGACTTGAGCACCGGAGAGGCTGGCATGCCAGCCGCTCGGCCTGGGTTCTGCCCTGCCTGAGCCAGGAGTACCGCATAGCTCCTGGACCTTGGCTGGCACAGGCCTGGTACAAGAAGCAGTGCCCACCTGTCTGAGGAACTGCGCTCGGGCCTGGCCCAGAGTGGGACTCTTCGGTGGCCCAGAGCTGGTCACTGGGGAGCCGTCCTCCTGCCCCGGACCCACTGGTACGGATGTGTCGCTGCCCCCTGGAGCACCATGACGGCAGGATGACCTCAGCGGAGGCAGTGGTTAGTGGTGCTCGGGCGGCTGGGTCCCCTGAGTGGCCGCCCGACACCCGGCAGGCCCTCGGGCGGCCTGGCCGGGTCCGGGTGGCCGTGGCAGCTCTGGTGTGGCTGCTGGCAGGGGCCAGCATGTCGAGCCTCAACAAGTGGATCTTCACTGTGCATGGCTTCGGACGGCCCCTGCTGCTCTCCGCCCTACACATGCTGGCAGCAGCCTTGGCGTGCCGCTGGGGGGCACAGCGCCCCATGCCCCGCCGCACTCGCCTCCAAGTGCTGCTGCTCAGCCTCACCTTCGGCACCTCGATGGCTTGTGGCAACGTGGGCCTGAGCGCTGTGCCCCTGGACCTGGCACAGCTGGCCACCACTACCACGCCACTGATCACGCTGGCCCTGTCCGCGCTGCTGCTTGGCCGTCGCCACCACCCACTGCAATTTGCCGCCATGGGCCCACTCTGCCTGGGGGCCGCCTGCAGCCTGGCCGGGGAGCTCCGGACACCGCCTGCTGGCTGTGGCTTCCTGCTGGCTGCCACCTGCCTCCGCGGCCTCAAGTCCATCCAGCAGAGTGAGTGCCTGGGTCACTGGCTGAGAAGGTGGGGTTTGGGGTGGGGGTGTGGCCTGGATGGCCCTGTGAGGGGTATGGCTGTTATCCCATCTTCCAGATGAAGAAACTGAGGTTCGTGACTTTGGAGGAGGCAAAAACAGGCTCGGAAAGGACTGACAGCTCAGAGAATTCCAAGCCCCAAACTTAGGCTCTACATCCCAGCCGATATTTAATAATAGTTGCCATTGATCCGTGTCTCATGTTTTGTCAAGCCCTTTATCTCATTGGATCTCCATACTGCCCTGATGAAGGAAGTCACTCTGTTGTCCCCGTTGACAGGTAGAGACTTGCCCCGGGTTATGTGGCTAGTGAGCAGCAGAGGCAAGATCTGTACCCAGGCAGTCAGACTCCATGCTGTCCAAGTGATGTGGCGTAAGGCTGTGGACCCTGAAGGAGACCTGATAGTGGGGACCCAGGAGAGAGAAAGAGGGCGAGACCTTGAGCTGGGATTTGGAAGCTGAGGGGTTTGGCTAAGTCTGGGAAGGGCTGATGTTTACTGGGAGCTGCAGTGTAACAGTCCCCATGCTCCGCGTTGACCTTGAATTGCCATGGCAACCACCACCTTCATTCTCATTTGATAGCCCATGGAACTGAGACCTAGAGGTTCATGATTTGTCCCAGGTGACCTCACTTCTGAAGAAAGGAGACAGGGGGGCCCCGGGCAGAAGGTGAGGTGGAGGCTCCAGGCCTAGACCCCGCTAAATCACTGGGTCTGAGGGTAGAGGATGCCTTCCCCTCTGTCTCAAGGGACATCTGAGTCACAGTCCCCACCCTCTCTCTGCCTCAACCTAAGGGAGACGTGGGGGAAGGCAGGGTGCCCACTCAGGGTGGGGAGGCCTGGGATCCAGCCATACCTCTGCTCATACTTGCTGGTCAACCTTGGGCAGATCTGGGTCTTATCTGGGCCTCAGTCTCCCTATCTGTTCAGAGGAGGAGGGTTGGAGTTGATGGAATCCCAGGGGCCCCGTGCTCTCTCCCCTTCCAGCTCTGAGATCTGTGACCTAGGCCTGGGAGAACGAGGAGGGGGCTTCAAGGGTGCTATAGGCTGGGGTTGGGGGCCGCCTGCAGGCAAGGGAAGGTAGACATCAGAGCTCAGCCCTGCCCTTGCATCTTCCCCATCCTCCTGGGCCCTAAGGCAGGGCCAAAGCTCCGCGCTATTTTTGCCCTCGGGTTACATGAGAGCTGGTGACTGAGCTTGGGCCTGAGCTCTGAGCATGAGTTGGTAGTGGGAAACCTGACCTCTTGCCCCCCCACCCCCACCCCACCCCACCCTACCCCAGCAGGGTCACAGGGCTGGGAAGACCCCAGTCTTCAGGCCCACAGCATGCCTGCTTCTCACCCAGGCCTCAGAAACAGCGGGTGCCTGGCATTGATCTGTTTCTTGGCTTCTGCCAGCTTCCTCCTTCTCTCCCAAGTGTCAACCGCCTGGCCCTCGAGGTGGGTTGGGTGCTTCCTCCAGGCTCCCACAGTACCCTCTGTTTCCCCTGTCACAGCTCTGATGTCCTGTGTTGTAGCCACTTGGTTACCTGTCTGCATCCCACCAGACAGGAGGGCTGAGAGGGCATGGACTGGCTTTGGGCATCTCCATGTCCCCCAGCACCTGGCCTGAGGCCTGGCACAGGCAAGTACTCCTTCAGTGGGTGGGTTATTAATGGCTCTGATAGCAGAATTGGCAGGCTGGTTAGGGGACATGGCTCAGGGTGCTAAGCAGGGAGCTTAGGAGGCTGGAGGCCCCACCAACCGAGATGGGAGCCTGGCAGAGATGGGGAGGAACAGACCGGAGCCAGGAAGTGAGGTGAGTTTTGGACAAGAGGAGGTTTCTACGTCCAGGGGTTCCAGATTCAGACTAGAGTGTAAATGGTAGGCTGGGAGCAGACTGCATGGAGTAGGGGTAAGAGTCCAGGAAGAGGAGCACCCAGGCAGCCGTGGGCAGGGCCAGTCTCTTCCTTCCAATCTGGGCCGCTTGCAGGCCCGGGGTGGGGCTGTGCTCCCAGAGAGGCTGGGAAGAGGGGTGCCAGCTTGCTGAACTTGCTTTCAGCTGTACCCACCTGCATCAGAGAGCAGCCTGACCTGATCCCTGCCTGAGCTCTCAGGCTGGTGGGGAGATGTACTCAGAGGCAGAGACTATAAGGGCAGGAGAAAAGTTCTAGAGCCAAGGTGGGCACAGGTGTGGTCGGGGGCAGTTTTCTTCTTCCTGGGGAGACCAGAGGAGAGAGCATTCTGGGAGTGGGAGGCAGGCCTTGCCAGGGCCTGGGTGGCAGCCGGCAGGAGCAGCATGGGGGATCATGACAGCTGCCGTGGCGAGCAGTTGCCGCCGGGCACCGGGCCCTGAGCTCAGCACCTCGCACGCTCCTGTGAGGGCGGTGTTGTTACACACGAGGACATGAGACCTAGAGTGACTTGTGTGATATCACACAGCTAGTGACAGAGCAAAGATGGGCTAAGCCAGCAGCCATAGGAACAGAGGGTCTAGGGAACGTTTGTCTGTCTGTGGCAGAAGCCTAGGTGTGTTCAGATGCTGAAACAAAATTGCCTTTAGAGAAGGAGAAGTTGAAATGGAGGGTTTGGTGGGGCTAGCCGGGGAGGGGTCATTAAGGAGGCAGGACCATAGGCTGGCATTTGGGGGCCCTGGGTGGGGCGAGTGGCCTGTGGCAGAGGATCACTGCTCTTTCCCTGGGCTGCAGGGAGGGCAGGCAGAGGGCAGGCAGAAGGCTGGGTGGGATGTAGAATGGGCACAAGGGGCTGGGGGTGGTTAGGACCTTCCTGCCTGGCTACCTCACGGCAGCCACTGGGGCCATGGGAGAGAGAGAGGGGCCTTCTGGAAGGCCACCTTGGAGGCGGTGAAGTTCACCTAGACACCTTCCAGTGATGGGACCTTTAACGTACAAGCCACACGCCGCTTGTAATAGTGCTAAATTTGGAGTGAAGGGAGCAGGAAGCATTCCAATTATCTGTTCATTTCTAGAAATGCTTGAGCTGGAGGGACTGTTGCCTAGAGAACAAAGCCAAAACATCAAAATGAAATTGAGAGAGAAATACAGTTTTCCTATTCTGGCCTATGAGTAAGCACCCCTGTGGCTCTTTGGAAAGCATGTGTCAGAAAATGCACAGAGGCTCCAAGAGCCCTGGGAGGGGGCCTCCATCAGTTACTCATCTCTCTCCACCAAAGCTAGGAGAAGGCCCCAAAACATCGTCACCAGTGTGCAAATACTGTCATTTCACCCGAGCAGTGTCTGACTTTGATGATGGGCACTGCTTCCTTTGTGAACAGCTGGGTAGTAACATGTGTAAGCATAGAAACACATGCACACATTCACACATATGCAAGCTGGTAGGATCCTCTCTTTCCTTGCAAAACTAAAAGGTTTCCTCTTAGTCCTGGATTCATCTCGACAAGCCTTAGTGTTGGCAGCAAAAGATGCTGATTATCAGTTATAAACAGTGAGTGACAGCCAAGGGCAAACAATGACTTTCTTGTTGTTCTCCCGTCATCCCAGGGTCATAAGTGAATGAAGCAATGAATGAACTCGCCATTTGACTCCAATTTATTATTGTAAAACTCTTTTTTTTTTTTTTTGCTAGGAAGTGGCAGAGCTGGGACCTTCTGTTGGCCTGTCTGTTGCTTTTTTTTTTTTTTTTGCAGTGTGGGGTAGTGGGTGGGTGGGTGGGGACTGAAACCAAGAAAGGTGGGTCAGGGTCACTTGGCATAGGGCCTTCCAAGCTGGTTAAGAACCTAGGATATTTGGGGGCGCCTGGGTGGCTCAGATGGTTAAGCATCTGCCTTCGGCTCAGGTCATGATCCCAGGGTCCTGGGATCGAGTCCCGCATTGGGCTCCTTGCTAGGCAGGAAGCCTGCTTCTCTCTCTGCCTCTGCCTCTCTCTCTCTCTCTCTGACTCTTATGAATAAATAAATAAAACATTAAAAAAAAAAAAAGAACCTAGGATATTTTTCTCTAGGGCCTGGGGAGCCCCCCAAGATTTTTTTTTTTTTGAGCCACATTTCATGTTTATTGATCGTTTGGCTATCACAAGCAGCTTATTGCTGCTGCTTCAAACTGCGGAAGGCAGTTTGAAGTGGATGATAACAGGCTTATTTATTTACCTTTTTACATTCAGTAAGTACTTACCTTACAAAGACTTTATAAGTGTCATCTATTTTAATCTTTACAACAACGCTGTGTATGAGGTGTTATCACCCAACTCTGCAGGTGATACGAAGGGTAAGTGCCAGGTCATAGCTGGTCAGGAGCGGACGCAGGTCACAGGCTAGGTGGTGTGACTGGATTCTTGACTGTCGTGTTACAGAGCAGGAGCCACTTATTCTGCTTGAGGGACTGGGGCAGGTTTCCGGGGTGATGGGCCCCCGAGCCCCTGCCGGGTCAGCCAGGTGGGGTGGGGATCGTCTCCCTTGGGGTGCTGATGGCTGCTGTCCTGCTTGCAGGTGCCCTGTTGCAGGAGGAGAGTCTGGACGCGGTGACCCTGCTGTATGCCACCTCGCTGCCCAGCTTCTGCCTGCTGGCGGGTGCAGCCCTGGTACTGGAGGCCGGCGTAGCCCCGCCGCCCGCCCCCACCAGCTCCCAGCTCTGGGCCTGCGTCCTGCTCAGCTGCCTGCTGTCCGTGCTCTACAACTTGGCCAGCTTCTCCCTGCTGGCTCTCACCTCCGCCCTCACCGTCCACGTCCTGGGCAACCTCACTGTCGTGGGCAACCTCATCCTGTCGCGACTCCTGTTTGGCAGCCGCCTCAGTGCCCTCAGCTACATGGGCATTGCACTCACCCTTTCAGGAATGTTCCTTTACCACAACTGCGAGTTTGTGGCCTCCTGGGCTGCCCGCCGGGGCTTCTGGAGGAGGGGCCGGACTGGCAAAGGTCTTTGAGACCTAGGGGAACACCTGGGCTCCCTGGGACAGCCCCAGCCTGAATCCAACCTTGGCCAGTGGCCATGGGAAAAGCAGAAAGCAGGCAGCCACTGGGGCCAGGGGAGAGAGAGAGGGGCCTTCCGGAAGGGCCACCTTGGAGGCTGGAGTGGGGATTCCCGGAGAGAACCACCTCCTGTCCCTTGCCTGCCTCTGACCACAGACCTCACTCACCACTGGATGGTGGGTCCAGACCTAGCACAGTCACTGTGCTTCTCGGACTGATTATTAGGATGAGCATCAACTACTACTCCAAAAATTGCTGGCCAAACTTTGAAAACTTCACCATGTTCTGATGACGACGATGATTCTTGGCAATTGCACAATCCTTCCTCCAGGAAGTGGGGAGGCAGCTAGGGGGCCCAGGGAAGGGTCTCTTTGTTGCTGGGATCCCCTGGGGATTGGGGTCATCTGTGCCAACTCCAGGCAGCTGCTGTAGCCTCACCCCTGGGCCCCCCAATTTTGGGTCTTCCATCCTCAAATAAACTATTTTTGCTTGTATACCTGTGTCATTCCTCAGAGTGACAGCCAAGGAAATATAGGGAGAGCTCTGGGCCCACTGGCTGCTAGCTGCCCACCCAGAAATGAGGACATCCTCCCTTACCCATCATGGCCTGTCTGGGTCCCCTTCTCCAACTGGCCAGGCCACCATTGCTCACATTCTGCATGGTGGCAATGGCTTCCTCCCTGCTCTGCTCTGGCTTCTCTACTCCACCTTCCACATAGCCCCAGAAGGTTCTTTCTAAAACACACACCTTCTGGGGCTCTACACTACTCCTGGAACAAAGTCAGAACTTCCTGCCCCAGACCACAAGACCATCAGGATCTGGCCCCAGTGGCCTCACCAGGTTCCTGTCTCGCTTCTCCTCTCCTTGGGCTCCACCTTCCATCCTCACTGACTTCCTTCAGGCACCTGGCCCAGGAAGGACAGGCGCAGGGTTTCCTGGCCCTGGCCTCCATCCAGGCAGGCCTTTTGGAGGGGAAGTGGGCCCAGGCTGAGTCACTCACTACCCACCCTGCCTGTGACTCAGAGATGCCGCTGGCCCAGCCCTGTCCCTGTGCAGCCTGGGCATTTCCAGCCTCCACTCTGAGGCTTGGCCAGACAGGACAGATTAGATGTCTTTGGGCGGGCAGAGCCTCACTAGTACTCAGGACCCTTTCTCTTTCCAGGGAGCCCCTCTGCCAGAGTAGGAGCCTCCCTGCAGCACCCTCACCCTGGCTCCTGGACCCCCATGGAATGCTTGGCTGAAGGGTGAGCCTACCCCAGCCCCCAAACCCCATCAGATCAGAGCCAGCCCTTGGTGGTTGTGGGGGCAGAGGGCAGGGGTGAATCGGAGCCATGCTTGACCTTGGGGCTGGCTTGTCACCAGACTGTGGACTCTCCAGCATTGAGGAGATTCCCTCAAGGTCATGTTTAAACCCCTCTCTATCAGAAAACCCGGGTTTGTATCCTGGCCCCCTGTCTCACAGTGTGACCCATTTGGTCTCTCTTGGTGTCACAGTGTCATTGGGAGTGGGCAGTGAGGATTGCTGGAAAAACCGGTAAGAAGGGCTTGGTGGGTGACTTCCATCCCAGGCCACTGCCCCTCTAGGCTCTGCCTCTTACTAGTTGATTTGCCTCAGGCAAGTCACTCCACCTCCCCAAGCCTCAATCTTTGTACCCAGTCCCTGCAGGGAAGCCTTGTCCCCAGGAGAACAGATGTCACCTTCCTTGGGAAGCGCTTTCCTACCCCTACCTCTGTCCTGCTCCATGCAAAGCTGAGCTGAGAGCTGCAGCTAAAGGTCACCCCAGCTCCCTGCACTCAGGCTGGGCACTGAGCACATCCCACTGTCAGAACTAGTGTATCACTTCTCTTCCCCACCAGCCTGGGCTCTGGCAAGGGCCAAGACAGCTGTCCTGCTCACCACTGTCTTCCCCAGCACCAGCACGGGGCCTGCTATGGACAGAGTAGGTGGAAGAGAATACTAGTCAAGAACAGGGGTCCGACCTGGGTCCAAACCCCAGCTCTGGCTTTGTCTAAGCTGTGTGACTCCAGGCAAGGGCCTTCTCCTCCTGTGCCTCTGTGTGTTAAGTGGCGGCCGCAGTAGAACGGAACCCTGGCTAGCTTGGGGAGGGGGCTGCAGTGGGCTAATGTGTGGCAAGTACTTAGCAATAGTGCCTGAAACCTAACAGGTCCTCAAGAAATGTTAGCAGACTGACTCACAAGAGAACTAACAGAATTCCTAGTTCCTTCCCAAGGCTTTTCATACTAGCCACTTCCCTCCCCCACAGCCTTCCACTCTGGGGGCTTGCTCTTAGAGCACAGTGGGAGGGATGCCCCAGCTCCCACCCCCTTGCCCTGCTTTGAAGGAAGCCAGGGATCTGGGTCTGTGCTGGGCATCCTGCCATTGTGGATTCAGAACAAAGCCCCTGCCTTGTCTCAGCCCCAGCTGCGAGGGGGCCCCTCCCAACCTCCCCAGGGGGCCCTTGGATTGTCATTCCAGGGGCAAGAGCAAACAAAGGCTCTTCTTGCTTTCTGCTCTGTTCCCAAATCAGCTCAGGGATGCCAGAAACTCTACCATCGCACTGCCCCTGCTCACTTGCCAGTACTTCCTGGAAAGAACACAATATACAATATAGAGCCATGGGAGAGGCTTTGAGCAGGCAAGAGCCATGATGTTCAACACACATTTCTTGAGAGTGGCCCTTTAGTTTGGTCTGGATCCTATGTGGAGGGGAAATGGAAGAGGAAATCGACAGGAGGTAGAGAGATCAGGGAAGAGGTATGTGGTCCAGAGGACAGCGGGGACAGTGTCGTGGGCACAGCACAGAGTACCATCAGATGTATAGATTTGGGGTAACAAATTATCCCCAAACATTATGGCTTAAAGCAACACACATGAATTATCTGACAGTTTCTGTGGATCAGGTATTTGGGAGTGGCTTAGTGGAATAGTTCTGGATGTCGCCCAGGGCTGTGGGTCATATGAAGGCTTGACTGGGGCGGGAGGGTCCACTTCCAAGACGAGTCATCCACATGGCTGTTGGCAGGAGGCCTCGCTTCCTTGCCACGTGGGCCTCTCCACAGGGCATCCTGAGTGTCCTTATGACGTGGTAGTTGGCTTCTCTCAAAATGAGTGATAAAGAGAGCAAAAAGCCACAATATCCTTTGTGACCCAATTTCAAAAGTCACACTCATTTCTCTAATATCTTCATTTATTATTTAACTCTAATACTGTCATTTCTCTGATATCTTAGGTCAACCCTATCCAGTATGGGCCCTCCCACCTTGACTACCCTAAGGACATGAATGCCAAGAAGAGGGGATCTTTGAGGTCAGCTCAGGCTGGCTACCACATCAGTGAGTGTTTGTTGAGTGAGAGATTGAGGAGGACACAGCTTGGGGCCACAGGGAATGAGTCTGGGAGTCTCCTGCTCCAGGTGGGATTTTGTTGGCTGCACCTGTGTGTCCTCCCAGATACAGTACTATAGGATCCTGCCCACAGTGGGCACTTGGCAAATGTTTGCTCAGTGAGGGCTGGAGGCTGCTTTCTTTGCTCCCTACTCACAGACAGGAGAAGGTCTGGGCTCCTTGGTCTGGTATTTGAAGCCCTGGGTGCTTTGCTATCTCCAAGCCCACTCCCAGTGATTCTTCCAGCTAGATGAGGCCACCCCCGCTCCCTGTGCCTGATGGAACCTTCCAGTATCTAGGCATCCTTCTGCCCACTCATCATGTGCCCCTCCCTCCTTCTCTAAGCACTGCCAGCATCCCAGCTGGGTAGATTCTGGTGCAGCAGGGCATTGCTCTTTGTACGTAAATTTTCTCTGGTGTAAGAACCCTGTCTGTGCATCTTATGCTGGAGCCCAATATCAAACAAGCCAAAGCTGAGGCACCTTAGCTGAATGAGGAAACCCCTCACCCCTGAGACACCTCTGCCAAATTTCCCATGAACCCTGTTTGAAAGCCACAAATCTAGTTCAGTCCTTGTCATACATATGAGGTAACTGAAGCCCAAAGAGAAGGAAGAACCAAGATGATTAGCTTCATCTGTTCAGGCTGCCATAACAAGATGCCACAGGCTGGGTGGCTTATAAACAACAGAAATTTATTTCTCACAGTTCTGGAGGCTGGATGTCTGAGGTCTGGGTGCCAGCACGGTTGGGTGCGGGGCCTCTTCTGGGTCACTTTTTTGTAGCTTTACACGGCAGATGGGGCAACTAGCTCTCTGGGGCCTCTTTTATAAGGACATGAATCCCATTCATGATGGGTACACTTTCATGACCTCATGACCTCTCAAAGCCCCTACCTCCTAATACCATCATCTTGGGCATTAGGTTTCCAACATATGAATTTCAAATATTCAGACCATAGCAAAAATCTGATGCAAAGGGGGGAACAGCAGGGCTAGGGCTTTATCTGCGAATTTTGGGGATTCTGCCATTTCCTGCTCCGAACTCTGCTCTAGAGAACAGAGCCAGGGTGTGAAGTTATGGAGGTATGTAGGGTCTGGCCCAGGTTCACAGGGAGTGTCTGCCACAGAAGTTGCCAGCCGGGTGTCTCCCAGCTCAGGCAGCAAAACATTTTTTTTGTCTTCAGGGGAAAAGCATTACAAATGTTTTGCCACGGGGGAGTCTAGAAACATTTTTTTTAAGAGGCTTTTACAGTTGTTGAAAGCTTTCTGCTTTGGGGTGTCTCCTGGCACCTCTGAGAGGTGGGCAGGATGGTGATTTACTCTGGGCCCTCTGAGAAGCAGACACCAAGATGGAAAGAAAAGTACAAGGGCTTTATGAGGGCAAACATCTGTGAGAGAAAATGGGAAGGAAGCTGGGAAGGCTGGGAGACCTGTCAGACCATGATGTAAGACTCTGAGTGGAGGAGAGAGGGGAGCAAGGTTGGGTGGACACGTTCCTGACCATGCTGTGGTCTAAGGAAGGTTCAGCATGGCCATCAGAGCTCTTGAGGCAAAGAAGACAACCAGAAGAGCCCCACGT